TTCGAACGAATTCAGTCTTTCTTATCAAATCGTAAAATGAAAGTTATTCTGAACGGCAACTCTTCCAAGTACTTTTGTACTAATGCAAGTATCTGCCAGGGTTTTATTCTTGGTCCCGTTTTTAATTTTCATTAACGACCTTCCCAGTGGCATCGTCTCTCAACTTGATATCTATGCTGATGACAGAAACATTTAATTCTGCACACTATTTACATCATTCGGAATATTTTCCTCATCTTATTTATTACAATGTTTCGGCCGTTGTACACTCCGACCGTCTTCAGATAATTGGAATGTTGAACTGAACCCTTTATTTCGCTCGCCGGGGTAGACTGTTCTAGTTCCACGTGCCATGTTTTAATGGATGTCATTTATTAGTTATCTCCTGTTAATCCCCCTCTCCGAGTTCTCCACTGCCTTCACCAGGTATTGAACTCCCACTGTTTGGGTCCTGTCACTGGATCTAACCAACGCCTTTATCTACTGTGCCATGTGTCCATGAGGTACCTGGTTAAGGCGGTAGAGAATTTGGAGAAGTGATTTAACATGAGATAACTGATAACTGACATCCATTAGCCATGGCACGTGGAACTAGAACAGTCTACCCCAGCGAACTAAATAAAGGGTTCTGTTCGACATTCCAACCACTTGAAGAAGGCCGGAGCGTACAACGGCCGAAATGTTGTAATAAATATGGCGAAAAAGATGAGGAAAATAGTCCGAATAATGTAAATAGTATATGTATATAACCTTTAACAAAATCGTTTAACATTTTATATTCTCCGTCTTAAGTGTCCGAGTTTTGAGATGGAAATCCTTCTGAATAGGTTGAAAAATTGTTTTTATCCATGCGTTCTCTATATCGACATTATGCAATAAATTTTGGTATGTATTTCCGACAGGGTTATAAGTTATTGACATTTGCAAAAAAAACTTTCATGAAAGTATGTTTCGAAAATAATATTCGATAATGCATTTCGCCTATATGGCTTCATCAGAATATAAATCGTTAAACTCACATTATTTGATCCTCAGCGCTAGAAAACGAGCTTAGTGAATCCACAAATCCAAAAGAATGATGCCACCTTTAAAAACGACACTGAATTCATAATTCTACCTTCTAAAGCTGTTTCAAAAACATAGAAATAAATCAGTTATTCCTAATAGTATGATCTTTATCACCACATTCAAAACAATCGGAGATGTAATTAGGAAGAAAAATATATCCCTTACCAATCCAGATACCGTCACGTATCAAATTAATTTTCGACAATGGAGATTTATTTATGCTGGAGAGACGTCATGGAATCTAAAATCCCGTTTCTAAGAACATAAAAGAGATTTACGTTTAGAAAACCTTTAAAACTATCTTGTTTTACACTGGAACAAAACTGACCATAACTTTGATTTTATAAATGCAGGCTTAATAAAAAAAAAAAAAAAAAAAAAAAAAACACACATACACCCACAGACATGAAAAGAGAATGAATAATGTGTAACGGGCGAATTAAAACACACAGGAAATTCTGGGGCAGTGGTTAGAGAATGAGATATTTATTTTTATTTTATTTCCTTTGATTTCTGGTGTATACTCATTTCTTTCCGGGTCCAAACCAGAGACTTAAGGTCATAACTTCATGACATTTCCCACTGAGCAAAAAAGAATAAAAAATAAAACTAAGAGTACACACATTTTAACTAGATAAAGCCCTTCGTAAGATTTGAGTTGTACTTGTGAGTACATATTTTTGTATTTCTTTAAGGCTTTGGCTATCAGGGATCCCTTCAATGAGTCTATCGGAAACTTTTCCAATCAAACCGAGGGCTCCAACTAAAACTGTTATTAGGGATTTCAAGGTCCTTGTACTTAGATAATTTTTTGAAGATACATTACAGTCTGCAGGAACTGGAATGTCAATAAGAAGGCATATTCTGTTTTTTTTTTTTGGTCTTTAATCACGATGTCTGGCCTATTAGTTTTGGTTGTTATGTATGTATTGTAAAGTCATTAAAATTATTACAGATGCTATCTGAGGTGTGCTCATGCCAATTCCTTGCAGTTTACTTTCCGTACAAGTTGCACGTTTTCCAATCCAGATATTGGTAAACTCACCCATTATTATTTTGTATTATAAATACCATAAATTGTTACAGATCCTATCTCTGTAACCAGGTCTGTGTTATGTTCATACCAGTTTCTTGCAGTTCTCTTTCTGTAAAAGATGCATATTTGCCCACTCAAACATACCGGCTTTTATATTCAATGGCTGCCAATGCCATGCAACCAGACACAAGATAGTCATTTGTTTCTGGATACTTATTACAGAATCTGCATTTTGGGGCTGACATAATTTCTCAGTATGTGTGCTTGGTAATTTCTAGTTAACAAGAATTATTATTATTATTGTTAATATTATTATTATTATTATTATTGTAGTTGTTGTTGTTGTTATTATTATTATTATTATTATTATTATAATTCCTATACTGAACAGGGAAAGAGGAAAAGGAAAAAAAGCCAACATTCAAAGAGTAAGAAATGGAAAAGACAAACCAGAAAAGGTGAATATAAAATAGAAGAAAATTAAGAAAATATTGTCAATAGTTAAACGACTGCTATTCTCTCCATTTCTACTTCTGTTCGACAGATGGATAATATGCATAAATTGTCGACAGAATGTACGGCTTGCGTATTACGTAGAATTCGATCAAGGGTAATGGAATAGAGTTAGATTTTAGTCTTCAAGTTGAAGTCGTTTTGAATAACGTACATAATAAAACAGGGGTTACTTCGAACACTATGCATATTTAGTTTAAATAACAAATATTTAAACGCCAAGAAACGGGATGTGATATTCAATATATTCGTTCCTTCAGCAAACATCTTTCGACAGAATTTGAAAGTTATAGTATTACTCTTGTAATAGTAAGATGTAACAGTAAGTTCTATTCTAAGAGTTCCTTTTCTCTCACTTGTAACCTCTGGAAATCTTACAATTTCTTCCTTCTTGCCACCTTCAATCTCCAAATACTTAAATGAAATGCCAATCGACATCTCTTTTTTTCTTTTATTGTCTTTCCTCGTCACTAAAATCTTCTCATTTTCTTTCACTCCCGGTAATTCATTGCATCTTAGTGTTGTGGACGCATTTGGTATGAAATGATTAAAAAAATAGCATTGTAAATTGTTTATAATAAAGATCCACAAACACTACTTGTAAGGTGATTTTCGTTTTCATTGTAGTTGTTTGAGGCTTAAAAAATATCTTGTTTGTTGAATGTCTTTACAGACGCCGCGTATAAAATATATATAATAAGAATTATTAAGTTACATGATGTTATAACCAAAATTATTTCGTGTTTCTCTTACGTCGTTGTGAATTTCCTTTGATGTCTGACCAAAACATCAGTCTAAAGTCTGATTGGCTTCTTTTATTTGGAATCAATACCAAAGAAATATTATGAGAAAGATTTTTTTTTATAAAAAATATATATATTTAAGATAACTCGGATGTTTTTTTATTATCATTGAATCATAGAAGTTAAATATGTTTTAATTCCAGACAAAAGGAGAGATTCTTTTTGTAAAGAAACCATAATTATTGCTTCCTCCTGTCATATTGTAGGGAGGAATAAAAACAAGAATATATATATATATATGTAAAAGCCTAAAATAATTATTTCGGTCGATGTTTCCTTACGATATTCGGTGGAAAAATGGTCTGTATTTAGAATTCTTGAGACTTAAAACAAATATGATTAAAAAGAAACGCAGAAAATAAGAGCAATGATATAGTAAATTTAAATTCAGTGTTCTTAAAATTAGATCACGGAGAACATTTTCCAACGTTTTAAGATTAATGAGTACTTAAAAATTATACAAAAAGACGCTCAACATAATTTTCTTAAATTATGTTATAACAGATAAAGACGCCATACAACAACAATCAACCTGTCAACACCTCGTTAAGTGATTTATGAGGTGTCGATAAGCATTTAATCGCGCAAGTGATTGTTTTAAAAATGCATTTTCTGTTATTTTAAAATTAAAGTAAGTAATTTTTTTCAAATCGGCTTAATTAAACTTTAAATCACCTAATATTTCTCAAGTAAAGTTTGATTTTAACAATTTTCATTCATTTTTTATTCTAGACACTTTCATTCATTCTTTTGTTTCTTAGCATTTTCATTCATCCCGTTGATTTTAACCATTTTCATTCGTACTTTTGATTCTAGACACTTTCTTCCATTCTTTCGTTTCGAAACATTTTCATTCATTCCGTTGATTTTAACTATTTTCTTTCGTACGTTTAAATCTAGACACTTTCATTCATCTTTTCGTTTCGAAACATTTTCTTTCATTCCCTTGATTTTAACAATTTTCATTCGTACGTTTGATTCTAGACACTTTCATTCATTCTTTCGTTTCGAAATATTTTTCCTTCATTCCCTTGATTTTAACCATTTTCATTCGCACTTTTTCATTCTAGATGCTTTCATTCATTCTTTCATTTCGAAACATTTTCCTTCATTCCGTTAATTTTACCCATTTTCATTCGTACTTTTGATTCTAGACACTTTCATTCATCCTTACGTTTCGAAACATTTTCCTTCATTCCCTTGATTTTAACCATTTTCATTCGTACGTTTGATTCTAGACACTTTCATTCATTCTTTCGTTTCGAAACATTTTTCCTTCATTCCCTTGATTTTAACCATTTTCATTCGCACTTTTTCATTCTAGACACTTTTATTCATTCTTTCGTTTCGAAACATTTTCATTCATTCCGTTGATTTTAACTATTTTCTTTCGTACGTTTAAATCTAGACACTTTCATTCATCTTTTCGTTTCGAAACATTTTCTTTCATTCCGTTGATTTTAACAATTTTCATTCGTACGTTTGATTCTAGACACTTTCATTCATTCTTTCGTTTCGAAATATTTTTCCTTCATTCCCTTGATTTTTAACCATTTTCATTCGCACTTTTTTCATTCTAGATGCTTTCATTCATTCTTTCATTTCGAAACATTTTCCTTCATTCCGTTAATTTTACCCATTTTCATTCGTACTTTTGATTCTAGACACTTTCATTCATCCTTTCGTTTCGAAACATTTTCCTTCATTCCCTTGATTTTAACCATTTTCATTCGTACTTTTGATTCTAGACACTTTCTTTCATTCTTTCGTTTCGAAACATTTTCTTTCATTCCGTTGATTTTAACTATTTTCTTTCGTACGTTTAAATCTAGACACTTTCATTCATCTTTTCATTTCGAAACATTTTCTTTCATTCCCTTGATTTTAACAATTTTCATTCGTACGTTTGATTCTAGACACTTTCATTCATTCTTTCGTTTCGAAACATTTTTCCCTCATTCCCTTGATTTTAACCATTTTCATTCGCACTTTTTCATTCTAGACACTTTTATTCATTCTTTCGTTTCGAAACATTTTCATTCATTCCGTTGATTTTAACTATTTTCTTTCGTACGTTTAAATCTAGACACTTTCATTCATCTTTTCGTTTCGAAACATTTTCTTTCATTCCCTTGATTTTAACAATTTTCATTCGTACGTTTGATTCTAGACACTTTCATTCATTCTTTCGTTTCGAAACATTTTTCCTTCATTCCCTTGATTTTAACCATTTTCATTCGCACTTTTTCATTCTAGACACTTTTATTCATTCTTTCATTTCGAAACATTTTCCTTCATTCCGTTAATTTTAACAATTTCATTCGTACTTTTGATTCTAGACACTTTCATTCATCCTTTCGTTTCGAAACATTTTCCTTCATTCCCTTGATTTTAACCATTCTCATTCGTTCTTTTGATTCTAGACACTTTCATTCATCCTTTCGTTTTGAAGCATTTTCATTCATTTCCTTGATTTTAACCATTTTCATTCGTACTTTTGATTCTAGACACTTTCATTCATCCTTTCGTTTCGAAACATTTTCCTTCATTCCCTTGATTTTAACCATTTTCATTCGCACTTTCTCATTCTAGACACTTTTATTCATTCTTTCATTTCGAAACATTTTCCTTCATTCCGTTAATTTTAACCATTTTCATTCGTACTTTTGATTCTAGACACTTTCATTCATCCTTTCGTTTCGAAACATTTTCCTTCATTCCCTTGATTTCAACCATTTTCATTCGTTCTTTTGATTCTAGACACTTTCATTCATCCTTTCGTTTCGAAACATTTTCCTTCATTTCCTTGATTTTCATTCGTACTCTTCATTCAGGTGGCGCAAATGTTAGTGACTCAAACGGAGATATCCCAGTTGAGTCCGTTACATTATCTTTCGGGTAAATATACATGGCAAAGGCATGATTTCTTCTTTTCTGCCCTTGGTTATATAGTAGGTAATACTCGGTTATTTATATCTGGTTGGCAGTTAATTCAAAGCCGGTTTGACTAAGGCAAGCAATTCCATCCTATAAAAAAACTTGCTTGCAACAAAAAGATCAGTAACAAGACCTAGTATGTTGAGGGCGATGGCTCTATATTACTAATGGAGTCTACGAAACTTTAATGAGTGCTTCATATCTACATATCGGCTTTTCTTCTTATGTGTCGTGCCAATTCAGAGCGTAGGCGATCATGGCTCTTCCCTTTATCCTATCCCTTGCAGCTCTTAAGAAGTTTCGTCCATTCGCCGCTTCTCCCAGATCTCGTTCTGTCATCCACTTGCTTAAGCCAGCCAGGTATGTTATGCGTTGCTTTTCCTTGTCTCTCTTTCCCTCTGTTCGATCTGTGAGTATCAGATTCTCCAAGCCCTTCTTTGTTTTTACCTGTTCCAGAAACTTCAGCTGTCTATTCCTGATGTTAAGTCTAAGCCTCCTCCTTTTTTGCATCCTCTCTAAGACCTCATCGTTGCTCACACGCTCTATCCATGATATCCTTAGCATCCTTCTTTAGAACCACATCCCCATCGCCTCGAGTCTCTTATTCATCTTCGAGGAGACCGTCCAACATTCGCTGCCATAAAGGAGGACAGATATCACGTAACAGCTCAGTACTCTTTTCTTTGTTACTATAGAGATCCTCCTGTCTCGCAATACTCTGCCCAGCTTTTGGAATGCGTCCTTGGCTATCCTCATATGTCTACGGATCGCAGAGTCGCACTTGCCGTTCTCTGTCAAAACACTTACCAGATATTTAAATTTCCACACTTGCTTGCTTTTACTGTCCCCGACCTGCAAATTTCGGGGTTATCCTTTTACTGATGACTGTCTTCTTATAGTTTATGCTTAGTCCTTTCTTCTCGCTCTCCTTTGCTACCTTCCGTAGGAGGTTTTGTAATTCTACATATAATATCAAAACAAAGTCTGACGGAAGGGAAAAGCGAAGCACTAATAAAAAATTGGAATTTCAACGCCGAATGAATTTCAAAAGTGATATATGCAGGCGGGTTTTCAGCTGTCAACTGAATTGACTGCAATTTTTCTATTTCGCCACACCCTGATTCGTTACCCCAATTTAATGGAATTATAACATAAATATATTTGACAATAGAGAGAAATGTGATCATTAAAGATGGGACTTTGCAATGGTTGATCTGTTGTAACCAATTTCGACAACCAGTCAGTATATTTACTGAAAATTATGTACAAATTGATTTTCTGAGGTCACGTATTACAGCAATTTTATTACTGTCATTATAGAGCTCTGCCTTCATCTTCTTCTTCTCCTCCTCCTTCTCCTCATTCACTTCAATCTTCTTCTTTTTCTCCTCCTCTTCTTCTACTTCTCTTCTTTCTCCATTCTTCTTCTTCTTCGTCTTCACCTCTTCCTCTTATTCTAACCTCTTTCTAGCTCTCTTCTCCTCCTCCTCCTCTTTCTCCCACTCTTCATTCTTCTTCTTCTTCTTCACCTCTCCCTCTTCTTATTATCCTCCTCTTTCGCGCTTTATTCTTCTTCTCCTCCTTTTCCTTTTCATTCTTCTTCTTTTTCTTCTTCTTCTTTCCTTCTCCTTTTTCATTCTCTTCTATCTTGTCCCTATTCTCCTCTTTCTCTTCTTCTTCTTCTTCTTCTCCTCTTCTTTTTCTCTTTCTTCTCTTTATTCTTCTTCTCTTTTTCTTTCTCTTCTTCTTCTTCCTCTCTTCTACGTCTTCTTCTCCTCCCCCTCTTCTTCTTTTTCTCTTTCTTCTCTTCCTTCTTCTTCTTCTTTCCTTCTCCTCTTCTTCTTTTTCATTCTCTTCTATCTTGTTCTTATTCTCCTCTTTCTCTCCCTCTTCTTCTTCTCCTCCTCCTCCTCCTTCTCTTATTTGTCTCTTTCTTCTCTTCATTCTTCTTCTCTTTTTCTTTATCTTCTTCTTCTTCTTCCTCTTCTTCTTCTTCTTCTCCTCTTTCTCCCTCTCATCTACTTCTTCTTCTTCTCCTCCTCTTCTTTTTCTTCTCTTCATTCTTCTTCTTCTTCTTCTTCTTCTTCTTCTTCTTCTTCTTCTTCAGGACGTGGGTGAACATGGCTACTCGTATCTTCTTGTCTCTTATAGCGCTAGGCGACATTTTGAATTTTTATCATTATCTTTGACCCCGCCACCCTAACTCCCATTCAAAATCCTTAAGTTTCAAGAAAAATTCCCGTCAAATTTATATCCTAGATATTTCAGTTATCTCTTTCATGTCATTGTTGCTCTATTTTTTTTCATGAAAGCTTTTATCATTCCTCTGATGTTCTGTTCATTGTATTCCAAATGCCCGTTTGTAGAACCACGTCTTTGTTATTTCGAGTCACTTCTTCTGGAGTGAAGAAACTTTTCAGCACTATTCCCATATGAAGGTTTAGATAAGTTATAGCAGTTCACCACTCTTTCCTTGGCTTCTAATGAAGTTTTCCTGCATGTTAATACTTTGCTTTCTTTCTGGAAGTCATCTTTCTTTATTTCAATGAGCCTTGGAATTTCTACGTTACATATTCGGATATCTATTAAAACACTATTCAGGTAGGTAAAATTATTCACGTGTTGTGCGGTCTATGGACATTTTAATTTAACATAAGATTATCTATTTAAAATGTTACCTTCATGTAAAACATTTAATACATCACAAAATAATGAAAAGTAACAATAAATTATTAAATTAATAAAAAACATGAATTGTATGAAACTTGATCTTAAAGAAATTATGTTATTTCTATATTGATTGATTTGTTATTTTTTACGGCATATCAACCTTTTGCAGGTTATTTAAAGCCAGAAAATGTTTTTAGATTGTAAGAATTTCTTGGATGCAAGTCATATTTTTTAACCCATAAATGAGTGGGAATAGGTGAATTCGTACCATTGCCAAGAGTATTTGCGTGTAAGTAAATATAACGAAGCCGGCTGGGACTGGAAATTGGCTCTACAATTTCCAAATCCGAGCCGTTAACCATTACATCGCCCACGCACCAAATTTAACAGCACTTGGTATTGCCAAGAGACACCCATCTAAGTATGTTACTTCTTTTTAAATCACTTGAACCCAAGTAAGGCAATAAATCCACTGAGAAGCAAGTAGTTAGTGAGTGTTAGCGAATATGAGAAAAAAAACCTACTATTAAGGAGAGAGGAAAATAAAAATCAATAAAAATTAAAACAATTGACACTACATTTAATTTTTTGAAGATCAAAGTTGACTGGGAGGCAAGAAGCCGGAATAGATTTAAACAAACTTAAATTCATTAAGTTTATATACTATATAATTGTTATGGTCCGGTTCCTTGTACCACGGTGATAGTCCAAGGTAGAATCAATAAAGAAGAACTTGAATACGGATATGGAATAATACAGATATATTACAAACAGGAATATATACAGAGAAGTAGATGTGTTAGTATGAACAATCAGGTTTAGTAGTAATTGTCTGAACGCGACTCTGTTTCGGACTGCCTCTGACTCGACTGACTGACTCGCTCGCTCTGACTGACTGACAGATTCCTGACGGTCTTCACTCCAGACTTCAGACTTCACTCCAGACTTCAGACTGAACTCTCTGCTTCCTCCTGAGGCGCAGTATTTATTACGTATGGGATATCCATTATGTTATTATGGGTAAGGTCCAATAACAATAATATATATTCATTAACTATATACTATATACGGAATTCTACAAGGCATATATCTTTTATGGGCAATATTCCTTCAAGGCTTGAATGATCTTATGTATACAAAGCGTGCAAGGAATAAACTGTCGTTTAAATTATACAAAAATGAAAATAACACTGACATCGCATTTAACAAATATATTTACCTAAATTACACAAAAAATATCTTGAAAAACGAAAGATTAAATTTATTCAATAACATCGCCATTGGCTTCAACTACAGCCAGCGGGCAACTTTGGAATCTTCTGCATCTCTTCTGGACGGTTTCCTTGATTGAGCTGGTGAATGCTGCCGTAATCCTTGCCTACAGTTAATCTTTGGTGTTAAAAGGAGTTTTGTTGGTCTCTCGCTCAACTGCGCTTCATACATACTAAACAAATAAGTTGCAGTCTGGGGAGTTAGGTGGCCAGATTTAAGAGGTGATGTGGTCGCAGAAATTGTCTGACAGTCCTAACTTTGTTCTCCTGCTTGTGTAACATGATACAAGGTCTTACAACATCAACTCTTTTGACCCAGGACAGAACCACCTGCTCGATGCACTTGATGTAGACCTCCGTGTTGAGTCTGACGCCTTCACCAACAAGTTCTGGGCTTCTTTTCTTATCAGAGCGAACAGAGTGAGTATTCCGAGCTGCCATAACTTTGTAAACATCATTAGACGCTGTCTATATTGCTGAGATGAGGTATTATGTACATTATTTACATCATTCGGACTATTGTCCTCATCTTTGTCGCCATATTTATCACAACGTTTCGGCCGTTGTACGCTCCGGCCTTCTTCAGGTGGTTGGAATGTCGAACTGAACCATTTATTTCGCTCACCGGGGTAGACTGTTCTAGTTCCACGTGCCATGTTTTCATGGATGTCAGTTATCAGTTAACTGATAACTGACATCCTGACTGATAACTGATAACTGACATCCATCAAACATGGCACGTGGAATTAGAACAGTCTAACCCGGTGAGCGAAATAAAGGGTTCAGTTCAACATTCCAACCACCTGAAGAAGGCCGGAGCGTACAACGGCCGAAACGTTGTGATAAATATGGCGACAAAGATGAGGACAATAGTCCTAATAATGTAAATAATGTATCATTAGACGCATCTAACTCTTTCCGAATCTTCTGACACCCAAACACTCTGAAATGTTCCTATTGGAGCTTCCAGCGCGATTGCCAAACTTTACCGCATGCAGTTTTCAAATTTCTGGCGCAGTCAATTTTGTCATGGTGCTCTTTTTCTCGTACAGTGTGCCCAATTGACCCTACTATACTGTGTAGTCGACAAAATAAATACAAACAAGGCGCATGCGCGAAACTGAAAATATAAAATGGCGACAATTTACCCATCGCACCCTGTATATATACGTTGTTACCTGTTTATTGTTGCTCTTTGTAACTTGTATCTATTTACTTTCCATCTTTGTCCTTTTTATGTTATCTCTAACATATAAAGTATGCTAGTCTGTTTCTACCTACTTTTCTTGCCTTTAATATTTCCTGAGAATGTTAAATTCTCTTAGCTGTCTTTCTTCATTATGCATCCCAGAAATTTCAGCTGTCTCGTTCTGACTGTGAGGATATGATTCTTCGTAGTTCGTATATTCTTTACAACTTCCCCGTTGTTCATATCTTCTGCCCATCGTACTTTTAACATTCGTCGCTAGAAACAGATCTATAAAACATTACGTTTATATGAACATCAATAATATCGAAGGAAATAATTTAAGATTATATAACGGATTCTTTTTTTTTTATAAACTATTATATTAAAGTCGATAATATTAATAATAAATTGATTGTATATGACAGCATACAGGTAGTCTGTATAACGGAAATAACGATATTTATATTGATAAATTTATTATACAATACAACATACACAAAGCAAGCTTGAATGCTTTTCAATTAACTTGTTTTTCTTTGAAAACTAGCGGTTTTCAGAGAAGCTAAAAAAAGATATGGTTTGTTTCTGCTTCAAACCGGCAAGATTTTTCAGTGATCAATTGGCTACATTGGATTTTGTACGAGAAAATCTTTGAGAATAAAAACAGTTTTTCTATTTTTGTTTAGATTCCAATTCCGCTTGGAATCGTTTCCGGAATTTTTCTCCCTTCAATTTTTTTTTTTTTTTGGAATGGACCATTTTAATCTTTAAAATGCATCTAAAATATTGACATTTGTCTGATTTGCTTTGGTCACAGGTGTAATCGGCGTCACAGAAAACTCAGCTTCCGTATTCTGTGTAAGGGAATTTAGAGACAAACAAGATTCTATTGTTTGACTATGTCCCGAAAAAAAGTATTTTTTTCAGGAATAATACGTTCAACTTATTTTTACAAAGACGATTGAATTGTCTATATGGCGTATCAAGCTTTATGGGAAAAATTAAAGGCGAAATATAATTTAGGATTGCAAGAATAATTCTTTTTTTTTTTTTTGCTTGTGAATATTGTATTAAAGATTTATTGGAGATAATAACGATTTTCAGATACAATTCTTACAGTTTTAATCTATACATGAAGTGGGAAAAGAGATGGATTTAAACCTTTCTGAAGGTTATTTGCATATTTGAATGTAATGAGCCTAACCGGAATTCGAACACAGCTTTCCGATTTCTCTTTCCGTGCTGTTATCCATGACACAACTGGCCCACCCAAGTTTACAAGACATGGTATTCTTGAGTGCTCACCCATCAAGGTACTGACTGGCTTGATATTGTTTAACTTCGGAAGTCGGACGAGAACCTTTGTTTCAACGAGATATGTACGTAATCCAACAAAGATGAAAGAAAGCACTTTCATAGCATTTATTGAACATCGATTCAAAATAAGGAAAGGTAATTTTCTATCGGCAATCATCCGATATATTTCGGTGAGATTATTAGTTTTTTTTTGTGAGTCCTTCAAGAAGATCACACTTAGACATTATTAAGAAAGACCACGAAACGTTGTACACAGCTACAGTTGACCTCTCAAATGAAATTTCTTCTTTTTCTATCTATAATGTCATTTCAGAATGTAAAGGATCAGGGCCCTCCACAACATTCTTTTCTTTTTGTTGAAACTTGACTAATGCATGGAATAATAATAATGCAACACAAAATGTACTTAGAACAAAATTTATTGAAACAAGAAAGTATACACAATATTTACATATAGTCTTTTGTATATTCCTGGTAAGACCGTTCCTGGAGAATGTGTTGACTGAGTCGCAGTCGGGCAGAGTCTCTGGTTGAATCTCTTGATTCCTGTATTTATCTATCCACCCACGAGGATAAAATGTGGCACAAGGCCGGTTTAAAGTGGGTATCTCCGAGCCCGTAGGCTCGGCCAAAAATATGGCCTTTCTGAACCCGTCTACCACGGCCTGTCT